CTGCAAACAACACCACCCACAAGAAATACTTGGTTGTTGTAAATGGTGAGACTCTACTGTACCATTTAAAACGACTTGATCAAGAAGATCAGCAAATGACAATGTGCTACTGTGGCCAAAGAAGACGTAACTTTTCTAATTAATACTGTGGCTTGAACTCATAGTGACGTGTGATATCCTCTTTGGTATTTTCACATGTTTTTTGTTTGTCATTTTCTGCTTAGAAAGCATTAGGTAGACTGCACATGCATTACTGGGGATGAATGACAGTGGACACAAATCTAAGTTGTAACTGTGTCTCCCATCTGCTCCTCGCTTTCCTATAGTTACAGTGCTCTTCCATTGAGACAAAGAGAGCCTAAGATTCAGTGGTTTCTTCCCTTCTGTTCCATAACCAGAGGTTTAAGAACTAGTAACATGTAGGTCAAAACATGTCCTGCCTGGCCTGCAAAATGTTTTAAAATATTCAGAGTGAGGTACCAACATTTAGAAATTTAGTGGTTTAGAAATCAGATTGCATATAAAGTCAGGGTTTTCAGATTTTTCTTGAGAAACCAGATGATCTGGCACTGCCAGGCTGGATTTCCAAACATCAATAAATGGCTAAAGTAAAATATGGGTTGTCCTCTGTGTGAAGGGCATGTGTTTTCCAGTTTCCCATTAGGCCTGGGGCCCTCATTTACCTTCCAGGCCTCCGTAAGGACCTGAATTTGTGACCACCAAACTATACCATAACCATGTGCTCATAAATCAACTCGATCAGTTGTACGACATTTAAGAATGTACACTTGCTCTGTGAGCCATGTTTCAGAGCACTGGATTCAGAAATGAACGAAAGAACTGCAAACAGCCACAAGATCGAATGGAAACAGACAGTACTTGTATGGTCTTTTTCTTCCCACTTCTGCTTTTTCCTTTAACTATCCTCTATCATAGCTTATTGAAGTCCAGTAAGTTATACATAGTATAACTTCAACTATAGCATATATGGTGAGTTTCCAGAACAAAATAATCTTTCCTCATCTTAAAACTGTTTTAAAGCCTTTTTAAAAAAGGAATCCTTGTAAAGGTAAAACAAAGTTCTATTTCCCCACCTAAACTGCAGAACACCTATTTCTAAAATGGACTTCTTACACAATCTTGATAACTACTATTTAATTTCTCATGATTTGATAACAAACGTTTTCACTTACCCGATTATAAAGCTGCGTATACATTGTCATAACAAAAATAAAGGCAGCGTGAATACAACCCAGTGGTGCTAAAAGGAGGAAGAGTGTGAAGGAAGCATGATTCTGGTAGCCGCAGCAGTTGTTGATCCAAGGACAGTGATGGTCCATCTTCATCACACATCTAACAGGAAAAATGTATAGAAAACATGAGGCAGAAAATCCTGTCTACTTGAAATAACTTTGGTCTTCAAAAGATCAAGCACATAGGAATCTAGAATGTCCACGCATGAGTCACAGAGGAATAATACTTTATAGAACAGAAAGAAAAATTTTTATGAGTTTTTATATAACTATGAACAGTGACTTCTTTTAAATTTTAAAAAGGTAAAGAGAGGGCAGACTTTGTAATGGCTTCTGAGGAAAGACATCTGCTACAAGTAAGTTTGTTTAAAGAAGTCAGGAGGCCCACTGAGAGGTTCATTATAAAAAAATAAGCAGGGTTCCTGATTTTCCTCTTGCTCTGAAATGCAGTGACTGGAGTGGAAAACAACAGAGACTGAACAAAATTACTTCTAAATCTCCACTGGGGCTGATGTGGCCTGGCAGACGCTTGTAACTTCCTTCCTTCCTGTTCTTATCCTTTACAAGTGGAGTCTCTGAGCTAAGCAAGCTAACTCTGGAATATAAGATGTGGTTTAGTAAGTGAAGTCTTACTCTGTTTCCTTTCCTTGAGGTTGTTAGAAGAAAATTTTCTTGCCTCAAACTAAATTTTATTTGCCCCTCCAATGGTCCCCCTAAACCTCAGAATTAGCATCATAAATTTCTTATTTATCAGTGGATACAGACGTTCATTTACAAAGGTTCTATCAATAGCTTAATCCACATTTTTTACAGTGATTCTGTTTTCTTCCAATTAAGGCTTTTATATTAAATACTTATGACAATAGGCACCTGAATTCACTTATTAGATTTATATAAGTGTAAATGTGACTCAACTAAATAATGGAAAAAGCAGGTCTCCTTTATAATTTAGACTCAGAACAATTCTAAGGCTAGTTAATATGACAGTCGACAGTTAACCCTGATTTATGAAAACAACTTAAAGTATAACGTTTTATCCTGTTCCTGTCACGGCAGGAAGAAACAGTGAGACCTTCATGATCAGAATTGACAATTTAAAAGTAAAATGAAGATTATGGACACAAGTATTTTAACAACATTGTTTATAAAGTAGTCACCTTGCAGGGAATAAAACTAGGATTGATGTGCTAGAGAGAATAACAAAGGGCCAGTAATCAAGTTGATCAATCTTCAATAAACAGCAAAGACAGACAGTACCTGTTACACTTTCTGCAGTGGTGTGACCGCGGTGCCTTGTATGCTTGGCAGACTTTACAATATTGGAGGTACACGCTATCCTGAGAATTTTCCTTGGCAGTGAAATGTAAACAAAACATAAATTTCTGGGTAATTGGAAAAGTGATATTCCTATGATCAGAAATTCATTATTTAAAAAAAAAATTTAGCTCAAAAAGAAGGGCTGGAAATGCAAGCTAAAATTCAAATTCCATCTTTTTCCCATCTCCCATAAATGAAAATCAAACCACAGTATTTATTCATAAGGCTTGGCTTGTTATAAGCTGTCCATTGTTTCTGAATACTTTATAAACTAGTAGCTTCTAAAGCAGTTTTCTCAGTTATGAGGGATGTTAATATGTGGTGTGAAAAAAAAATCCTAGTGCCAAACCACACTGTGGAATTATGAGGTACACGACATACAGTGTTTCCTAGACACTTAAGACCATCTACTCATTATTACCACTCCATTTTTTTAAATTTTTCAGTGAAATCGCTTTGGGAAATACTTTCAAGCAGCTATGAAAAAAATTCTTTGAGCTCTAAATGACCAGTGATTAGAATAATATGCTTAGTCTCCACCAAAGTAAAAAGCAGGCTATGTTTGATATTACTGGTTGGCAGGTAAGGCAAAAACTAAATATATGATTATCATGAGGGTTCACCACTTTAAGGAACCTTTTTCTTACCGGTTTCCACCCCAGAGGGACGAAGCCAGGACCAACAAACATGGCATTGAAGTAATTATAAAGAATCATGACAGTCCAATTTATCAACATGATGAAATTCACACTTCCTCCAGTGGTATGTAAGGGCCAATACCACAACACAGAGTCAATCATGGCCATGGTGGAACATATTGCTATAACACCAAGGGCTATAATGGGACCCCAGTGACAAAGTCTCTTTAATTCTTGGAGATTTTCAAACTTGACAACTGAGCAGAATGTACCCATTTTGGTGAGGAAAAATGTCTTTCAGTTTTAAACAATTACAGATTTCCTTTTTCTGTGCACACATTTCCTTGTGCCACAAGTCCGTGTGTGTTTCTTAATTGTCATGTCTTCACGTTGTGGGATGTTAATGCAGATTATGCCATTTTCACTGTTAGACACTTTTTATCTAGGAGAATCCAGTACCTTGGTTTGAAACTTAATCTAAACAAAACAGAATGAGAAGGTTCGTTAAGACATTTTACTATCTACTGTATTTGTTAATTTCAACAATCACCCAAATAGAAGCAGCTCACAAGTACATTACTATGAAATGAGTATCTCACCAAATATCAGAAAGAACCATTTTCATCTTATCCAAACTTTAGTCAATTCTGAATGGCAGGTAAACTGGATCCATGATTCTTAAGTGGTAGTTTTTTTTCCCTTTGTTCCCAACTTGTCAGAGGACTATGTCCGTGCAACCATTTAGTGAAAGGCTGCAGGAAACAAAAAAATTTAGAGCCGGTATGGAGGGCCTTATGGTTGACCTAATCCAGTTTCCTTCTTCACTGAAAGGAAAATGGCTCAGAGAGGCTGAGCGATTAAACCACTTGGGTGAGTGACAGCTGAACCCGACAGAAGCCAAATCATCAAGCTTCCTTTACAGAGTTCTAAACTGCCTCCTACCCACTCTTGAATTAAATCCAGTATGATCCAGACAAGGTCTACACCGTTTGCCTGTGGTTGCCCCTCAAAGGCTAACTTAAGGTCTATTTGTGTTAGAGGTAAAGAAACCAGAGGATGAAAGCTCAAGGAGGGGAGGGTAGGGGCGGGGAGAGGAGCTGAGGAGAGAGAAGTGTGTGTGAACTCAGGACTGGAGGCGTATATAAGAAAAAGCACGAATGAGGATATTACAGGGAAGGAAAAAAAAAAAAAAAAAGGCGAGGGACCGGGAAGGAAGGACTGCGCGCGCCGGGAAGATCTGTAGAAGGCTATTTAGGACTGGACTGGAGTGAGTCAAGCGAAGATCTGAGAGCCAGAGTAACAAAGATTTCCACGCAAGCCCGCGCCGGCTCGTGCCTCAGTTTCCCTCCCGTGTTATGGAGCAGAGCACTGAGAAATCCTCACGCAGGGGACGAACATTTTGGTAAGGGTAGTTGGTCTCGGCTTCCTGGAGATGCTGGCCTCATTCGGGTGGGGCGATGACCGCAAAATCACGTCCACTGCTTTGACTTCCACCTCGGTCCGGTCCTCAGTGCCCGCTCCTCGGCCATCGCATTTCTGGGGCGGCTCGGGCTCATCCGGAGCAGACTCTCTCCCACTCGGATAACTCCGTCCTGGGTACCCCTGCCCAACGCAAGTAGAAAGTAAATTCTGTGCGCTAGAAGCTGGGGAGCGCGACCAGCCACGACCAGCGCGTCTCTCCGCCAGCGCCCTCGCAGCTTCTGTCCCGCTCGGGCTCAGTGCGCAGTCTCCGTGACAGCCACTTCCGGGAGGTTCGCCGCATCAACCTTCCGTCGGGAAGCAAGTCCCTCTGGCTTCTAGCTTGGGGAACCGGAACCGCTTTCCAAAACTCGGAGGGAGGGAAAAAATGCTTTTCAGTGATTCCTGAGAACACGAATATTTTTTAGGCTTTTGGGGACACTGATTGAAAGGGTTTTTCTTAGAGAACTTCTTAATCTTGTAGCCTAAACGGAAACTGAAACACGCACCCAGCCCAACTTCCGGAGGACCAACATCGCGACGAACAACCAGGAAGCGATCGGCCTGGGAGCTGTCCCCGGTTCTCTGCTCCGCTCTCTAGGGAACTTTCCGGGTCCTTACACTCTGTTTTTCTTGCCCCGCGTGACCTCAGCTCCGACCGAGGCTCCGACCCGGGCCGGCCACTCCGGAACCCGCCATGTCGTCCGACTTTGAAGGCTACGAGCAGGACTTCGCGGTGCTCACGGCAGAGATCACCAACAAGATTGCAAGGGTCCCCCGACTCCCACCTGGTAAGGGCGCTTCCTAGGCCGGCCGGGGGTGGCCTGGAGAGTGGGGAGGCTCAGATGTGGACGATGGAACTCTGCCTCAATGTCTCTTAGGCGCGAGCCTGGAGGATGAAGTAGTGGTGGGGCCTCCGGGAGCAATGGTTGAGTGGGTTGAGGAGGGTCAGGGGAAGATCCAAGCTGGGTTGTGGGATGCAGAGCCTTTGGAATCTGAAGCTTTTTTTGAGTTCTTATCTGGACCCCACCGCCTTTTTACTCGTATAACCTTGGGAACGTTTCTCTGAGTCTTCGTTTTGGTTGGGTTTTCTGTTTGTTACTTTTGTTTGTGAAATACAGAGATATGAGAATATTCAACGGGAATGAATTAACGTACCAAGGTCATGGGTCTGCACCATAAGGCAACGTTGGTTTGTTAGTAACAATGTTATTACTATAGGCGGCAAAAAGGGGTTAAGAGCCGTGGTGCCTGGATTCAAATCCCAGACCTGCCACTTAGAAGTCGTATTTAGGCAGGTTTCTTAACCTCTCTCAACTTTTATTTCTTGGTAAAATGGAAAGAATTGTGCATCTCTCATGTGAAGATTAAATGACTTAGCATATGTAAGGTCCTTTTTTTGATGTTAGCTGCAATAATCATTAGTATTTTTCATACCACCAAGTCCATTTATTTTTTTTCTCATCCTTCTTGAGAAACGATGTGTAAAAATTGGTACAGAATAATTTTTCTCACTTTTAAAATCCCACAGCTATCATTCAGAAGAGTTTTTGTGTTTTAGCACATCTTATTTTAAATGCTGGACGGTCAACTATGTGAAGGTGGGAGCTGTCTTTGATTTCCTTGGCATTTACTTAGAAGGAGCTCAGGAAAATGTTTAAGGAAATGAACAGATACATAAGTATGGTATCATGTAATTTTCATCTGTAGGACTTTGTTTTAGGATTTGTTTTCTCTCAATACAGATTTAATTGAGTATTTAGTTGCAAATAAGATTGCTATTCGGGGACTTAGCTGTGGTAGGGAAATTGAACCATCTACCTTCACTCTGTGGTGTAAAGTTTATCTGTGAACTGGTGGTCAACTTCATTGTTCCACCATCTCAGTCAGTCCTTGATGCCAGCAATAATTTCTCCTAGACCTAAGCTGTGATTCCTCTGTTCCTTTCCCCACCTCTCCCCAAACTTAAGTGTTTATAAATAATTTTCTTCCTTTATTTCTTTATTTTTCTCCTCCCCCCACCCCCCCGACCTATTTTCTATTAATAGGGACATTTGCTTGAAGCCAGCATCTCTGAACTTACACCCCACTCATCTCCTGAAGTCCCAGTTAGTTCTGGAGGAGGTGGAGGATGATGTCTTAAAGAGGTATATGAGTCCAAGTGAGGGAACGAGAGGAGACAACCAAGGTAGCATATACCACGGAGCTCTGCTGCCTGGGAGATTGTTGTGGCCAAAGTGGATGATGGCCTCATCACTTCGTGATACATTACCTCGCCTCTTCTCTTCAGTTCTGCTTTCCTCCACCACCCAAGATCATCTTGATTTTTGTTGTTATTATCGTTGGAGACTACTTCCTTTGACTTCAGTCCCAGAACCTCAGAATATCAGGATTGGTGGTTTCCTGGGATTTTTGCTCTTTTTTAATTGTCAGAATTATAGCTGAGGAAACATTTTTTGTTTTGGGCTAATAACTTTGGTATTGAGAAGCTATGCTATAAAGTAACAAAGTCGTTCCTGGGTGCAAAATTGTAACAGCCAATTCCAAGAAAACAAATTTGTTAACAATTGTTTGTTTTTTTTCTTACCTTTATATTTTAATGTGACCATTCTTACCACAGAGGAAGAAACCTTTGAATTAAGTAACTTAAAAATAAAGACCTCCAATTTCTACAGCTACAATGTAATGTAAGGTCCAAAGAAGCATCTTCATGAAATTTGAAAGGAGACTATAGCTGGCACTGGAAAAATGCTTACTAACTTGAATAATTAAATGCTAATAATTCTTAAAAATACTGTGGTTGCCCTTTAATTATTTGTACTTGCTCGTTTTATAATCTGTTTCTAGTTGATAAATAGAGAAAGATGAAAAATATATCTTTGTAGTTGTGCATTTCAGATGTATACCTGTGGACAACAGAAATTGATTATGTGCAACCATGCAAAAGTAGTATGATTAAAAATAATTATAATCTCTTTACTGGCATCATTGGTGGTTGATCCAGAAATTTCTTAAGAAGGTTAAAAATTGGAGCGAAATTTTCAGCCAAAGCAGTTTAGTCCCTGAAATATTAACTTACTGAAATGGAATTAGAGTAAATTGGATTGATTGCAACTAACTTCATTCTCTGCTGTGCATGTACAATGTGTCAAAGTGTTACTTCCAAGAGAATAAAAAAGAAATATTTTAAAACTTCAAAAAGAAATTTGATTACTCTGTGGTACATTTTAAACAACAATAATAATATTAAAACCTTTCTTCTTAAACTCAAGTGTTTGGATTTTAAGTAGTGTTAGTAATTAGACCAAAAGATAGATCAGTCTCTTCTTAAGTAATATTCCTATGGCACTATATTTGAGCTTTGATTTTAATGATTTGTATTCTGTAGTAAAGTCAGGAAAATGGATGAGTGGAAACCATCGCTAATACTAATTGTGACGTTCCTCTTTCTCTGATGATGAGTCGTAAGTGGGGGAGATACTTTATACAGGTGGGAATTCCATGACATCAGGCAGGCTTCCTGAAGGATTTTAAACGAAAGGTTCCTTTGCAGTTAGTTGCTTACTTCACCATGGACAGGGAGAAAAATGGTCTGTTGTGAAGTTGTAGTCAGAAATACCGAAAAAGGCATTATGGTAACTTGGTTACAGTTCACACGTGGCATCAGATATGTTTAGAATCCCAGCTCTGCTGCTTATTAGCTATGCAACTTGGGCATATTGTGTGGCCTAAGTCTGCCTCCTCCACCTGGAAATTCAGTGTGTGTGTGTGTGTGTGTGTGTGTGTTTGTGTGTGTTGGGGGTGGGGTGCGTGTATCATAGTTTCACCCTTACAGTGTTGTAAAAGTCAGTTGAGACAAAGCATATGATTTTGTTGTTGTTCAGTTGCTACTCTTTGCAACCCATGAACTGCAGCACACCAGGCTCCTCTGTTCTCCACTGTCACCCAGAGTTTGCTCATTGAGTTGGTGATACTGTCTAACCATCTCATAACTATTAGTAGTTGCCCTCCGGTCTTCCCTGGTAGCATGTTGAATCTTCCAACCTGGAGGGCTTGTTTTCCAATGTCATATCTTTTGGCCTTTTCATACTGTTCAGGGGATTCCCAAGACAAGAATGCTGGAATGGGTTGCCGTTTCCTCCTCCAGTGGACCAGGCTTTGTCACAGCTCTTTGCTATGACCCATCCAGCTTGCATGGCTCTGCATGGCATGGCTCATAACTTCATTGAGTTACACAAGCCCCATTGCTACAACCTAGTTGTGATCCTGGAAGGGGAAAGCATATTATACCCTGGCACAATTTTTCCTCCCTAAAGAGAGTGCATGATAAATTAGCAACTAGTGATACTGCAGTGGTGAAGACAACAGCTGTAGGGTTGGTCAGGACCTAGCTTCTCAGACTTTGTGCTTAATTGAACTCTTAAACATTGGACCTCACTTTTGCTTCCTTTCTGTGCTAGACTAGAGTGAGTCTCTCTTGATGAGCACCTGCATTTGAAGGGAGATGTGTGATGGGCACTTTGGAATACAAACTTGGAATTGGACTCTGAACTCAGGGTATCAGGGAGGAAATCAGGGAGAGAAGTGGAAGTGGTGGGGTGAGATGGGTGTCTTTTCTAGAAGGAAATGCTTCAGCCTAGCTAATTGATTATCCCTGGAGGCTTTTGGACCCTGTCTAGATGTGGCCATGTGTGGAGGAAGGTGTAACATTCATCCATGATTCTCTCTTGCCTTTGCAAAGTGATTGTAATAAGAGAATTCAGAAAAGTCTGCTTTTATTTATGAATACTGTGGTTTGCTTAACATACATGTGGTTCTGGAGCTGTAATGTTGATGTGTAACTGTTGAGCACTTGAAATGTAGCTGTTGCCCTGTAGTGAAATGATGATGTTCTTAATATTATTAAAATTAAAAAAATTAAAATGAATTTCTCCTTTTTCTTTTTACTTTTTGAAATGTGGCTACTAGAAAATTTGAAATTCTGTTATGTGACTTGCATGCATTATATTTTTGTTCTATAAAATTAGAGTTGAAGAGATGGTTCCAGACCTAATTCAGGAACTCAGGTGCAGAGTGAGTTGAAGTAGGATGGGTAAGATTTGAGTTAGGCATACTCACACATACCCTCATTCTAATCCTTTAAATAATTTAGTTAACCTGAGTAATAGCCTTGGGCTACCCAGCTGGCTCAGTGGGTAAAGAATCCACCTGCGATACAGGAGATGCCAGAGACACAGGTTCGATCCCTGGGTTGGGAAGATAGCCTGGAGGAGCGAATGGCAACCCACTCCAGTATTCTTGCCAGGAGAATCCCATGGACAGAGGACCCTGGTGGGCTACAGTCCATGGGATCACACAGAGTTGAACATGGCTGAAGCAACTGAGCATGCATGTACACATGCATGGCANAGCGAATGGCAACCCACTCCAGTATTCTTGCCAGGAGAATCCCATGGACAGAGGACCCTGGTGGGCTACAGTCCATGGGATCACACAGAGTTGAACATGGCTGAAGCAACTGAGCATGCATGTACACATGCATGGCAAGTAATAGCTTCATTGATTTTTTAAAAATAGTTAATTTTAGAACAGGTTTAGATTTATAGAGAAATCACAAAAATAATACAGAGAATTCCTGTGTAGTCCATGTCCAGTTTCCTCTATTGTTAACTTCTTCTATTAATATGATACATTTCTTGCAGCCAGTGAGCCTGTGTTGCTACTTATTATTAACTGAAGTCCATACTTTATTCATATTTCCTTAGTTTTCTTTAGTGTCTTTTTACTATTCTAGGGTCCAGTCCAGAGTACTACAAATCATTTGTAGTAGTCATGACTCCTCAGGTTCCTCTTAGTTGTGACAGTTTCACAGCCCTTTCTTTGTTTTTGATGACTTTACAGTTTAGAGAAATACTGACCAACTGTATAAATGTTCCTCAGTTGGGATTTTCCAGATGTTTTTCTCATCATCAGACTAGGGTTGTTAAGTTTTTGAGAGGAAGACCACAGAGGTAAACCACCATTTTCATCACATCATGTCAGGAATTCACACTGTAAGGTAACTTAGCAGTCTTGATATTAACTTTGACCACCTGGCTAAGGTAGTATTTGTCAGGTTCCTCTACTATAAAGTTACTCTTTTCCCTCTTTTCCATATTCTTAGAAGGAAATCATATGCATAGTCCACACTTAAGGAGTAGGGGATCATGCTTCATCCCCTTGAAGGCTGAGGATTTATGTAAATTATCTGGAATACTTCTATATGATTCTTCTAGAGAGAGAGATTTGGCTATTCTCCTCCCCTTGTTAATCCAGTCATTTATATGCACAAACTCATTTATACTTTGTGTTGTATTCCAATACCACTTTATTTTTCTGCTCAGATTATTGCAACTTTGACCATTGGAATTCCTTCCAGCTGACTTTTGTGTCATTTTGATATATGCCCATCAGTGGGGTTTTTTTTCCTCCTTATTAGCATTTTCTTACTTTCTGATATTATAAGATACTCCAGAATCATCCTGTATTTTTTGTATACCAGTCCTTGAATCAGCAGCTATTTCTCCAAGGAGTCCTCTTTCCTTTTATTGAAAAATGGTGTTAGAAACCAAGATCTGGACACTAGGTGCGCACGTTGGTACTGAGGTTTTATTACTTCTGGACCCTTTTAGCTGACACAGCAAAGAAAAATGTGTGTTTGCTAACTTATGTATATATACATACTGATAAAGTTTTATGTATGAGGCTATCTATATTTATAATAAGCTAAGCATGAGTTATATTAATGTCTCCAACTCCAGTCCTTTATTCACACAAGTAGAATGGGTTTGTCTTAATTATTTCTTTCATAAAGGGAAGCTTGCCATTTCTAAGTAGGAAGATTTGCCCCAGGCCCCACTGATACAATTTTTCTTTCTTTCTCTCTTTTGTGTGTGTGTGTGTGTGTGTGTGTGTGTGTGTGTGTGAAATTTGAACAGAATCTGTACTGTAGTTAATAATACTATATTGCATGTCAGTTTCCTGTTTGTTTGTTTGTTTTTACAACATAACATCTCTTTATATTCTCAGAAGTGGATTAAAATTTTCAAGCCTCATTCAAAAATTTTTTTTAAATCACTGAGATAGTAAACTTTCTAAACTTTCAGCAGTAATACTAGATGCCAAAATAAATGGAACTATATCAAAGTTTTGGGTGAATATAAATTAGAAATCTAGCATCCTATTCATACTTGGTCAAACAAATGGAACCGAAATGTTATAAATATTTTAGCTAGACAAACATTCATAAAGTTTCTAAAATATATATAGATTGTATGTACTATATATATACAAAAGCTTTTCTACTTCGTTTGATAAAGGCTTGAGAAAGAACAACAAAAAATGAAATGGAGAAGTTGGAAAACACAAACTAAATTAAATGGGAGCACTGAATATGAAATAGAGCAGCTGTGTCTAAAAACAACTGGACTATATGATGACCTTTTACAATTTTTCTTATTCTCTGTGAGTAACAAATATGTTGCTGAATTATAAGACTCACGGATTCATTCAGTAAACACACAGTCAACACCTACCACGTACAACTCTCTGTGCTAAATACAGAATTAGGACAAAGGTGTGTTGAGAATGGTCCCTGTCTTCAAGGAGCTGGAAATGAGGCTGAAGGGAGCCAATTATTAATGACCATCAGGGATGCTAGGGCAGAGCACGGAGGTCCAGGAGTTCAGAGGCGATAAGGTCATGTCCTGGGAGGTCACCTGGAAGGGTAGTGGGATTTAGCAGACGGAAAAGAGGAAAGACTAAATGAGTTGCAGTAAGTGGATGCAGTGGGCATCTGCTGCTTCAGAAGGCCCAGAATCCTCTGTTCTATCTTCTGAGAGCATCTCCTCAATTTTCCTTTGAGAAATTCTCTAAACCCAGTCTTGGTGGAACTGATAGCCTGCCATGCCCTGTCCAGGTCAAGAAGAAAATACCTTACTCAAGGGAGGACAGTCAGTGAATTTTCGCCAGAAATTGGGATTTGGACTCTGCTTCTGCAGAGACTGTCAGTGAGTCCTGCTCCCTTGGTTCCATGACCCACCGTGGTACTGCCCTCCCTGGGCTTGGGAACTCACCTTTTCCGTTGATTCTTCATTCTTTTTATTCAGTCGCTGTTTCATGTCTGTTTGCAACCCGATGGACTGCAACATGCCATGCTCTTCTATCCTCCACTACCTCCTGGAGTTTGCTCAAATGTCCATTGACTCGGTGATGCTGTCTAACCATCTCATCCTCTGCTGCTCCCTTCTCCTTGTGCCTTCAATGTTTCTCAACATTAGGGTCTTTTCTGAGTCAGCTGTTTGCATCAGGTGGCCAAAGTATTGGAGCTTCAGCTTTAGCATCAGTCTTTCCATTGAATATTTGGAATTGATTTCCTTTAGGATTGACTGGTTGGATCTCCTTGCAGTCCAAGGGACTCTCAAGAGTCTTCTCCAGCACCACAATTCAAAAGCATCAGTTCACATTGAATATTTGGAGTTGATTTCCTTTAGGATTGACTGGTTGGATCTCCTTGCAGTCCAAGGGACTCTCAAGAGTCTTCTCCAGCACCACAATTCAAAAGCATCAGTTCTTTGGCATGCTGCCTTGTTTGCGGTCCAACTCTCACATCGGTACATGACTGCTGGAAAAATCATAGCTTTAACTATATGGTCCTTTGTCAACAAAGTGATGTCTCTGCTTTTTAATATGCTAAGTTTGTCATAGCTTTCTTCCAAAGAGCAAGCATCCTTTAATAACGTGACTTCAGCCACCATCTGCAGTGATTTTGGAGCCCAAGAAAAGAAAATCTGTTACTGTTTCCACTTTTCCCCCCTCTGTTTGCTATGATGTGATGAGACCGTGTGAGCCACCCTGAATTATTCTAATAAATCCTATTTTTGGCTTAGGTTAGCCAGAATCAGTTCTGTTATATTCAGCCAAAGAACCTAAATAGTACCTTGAACAAAGACTTAGGTCAGGGAATAAAATGGTGCTTTGATAGTAATGGATAGCATGCAGAGCACATACTAGAGAGCTAGTAGTTGGAAATACAGTTGGAAAAGTTGCTTGGGTCTGGAATGTGGAGGACCTTGACTTCCAAGCTCAAATGATTCAACCAGAGCCACATTTCTGGAAGATTAAATGGGGGAAGAGGGCAGGTGTGGTGAAAGTGAAACCAGCGTGGTTGGTAGCATAACTTCTTTTGTAAATTCTTGTACTCACTGCACTATTTATTCATTTTGCTACCATGTTTTGAGAACTGATTATACATCAGGCTCAGGGCTAGACTGTAGAACTAGGACATGGTTCCTGTCTTCCCAGAGCCTCCAAGTTAGAAGATAAATCAGACATGTGAGTGTGAGAGATAAATCAGGAGGATTATGTAAGAGATGTAGGAATTTTCTATAAGAGCAAGTAATTAATTCTTCTGTTGCATTAGAAAAAACTTCAAAGAGCTGGTGATTTCTGGGGAGAGATAAATGGGCTGATAGACTTGGAATGGGGATAAGGATAATTTTTCCGAAAGTATCTGCTAGAACATGTCTCTCCTAGAATGGAGCGTTGTGGTTGGGTTATAGCTTGATTGTGGTATGGTTTGAAGAAATCACATACAGATATTTAGCACTTCACAAATTAGAAGTTATTCCTCTTGCATCAACTTATTTGAGCTAAAACGAGTCCAGTAGATGTTTTTAATTTCCAGTTTAGAGAGTATATACCAAGTCTCAGCTAAAAACTCTTTCTTACCCAAGATCCCATAACCATGAGTAGATAATAGATTGGGGTTTAGAATCAGTAGTTCTGACTTCACATATTTCTTCCATTGCATTCAACTCTTAGTGAGAGCACAATTTTTTAAAGGATCGTAAGATCTTGCTCAGTTGTACGAATTGTTATATGTCACTTTTGGTTTTTTAATTTGTGGATTTTTGTCTTGTTGTTATATATGACTTTTTAAATATGTGACTTTTAAGTTGTACTCATGAGTACATTATTCCCAGTTTATTAAATTCATGAGTTTACAGATTCCTCATGCCACCCATAAATCTGTTGTTGACACAGGCTCTTCTAAAGAGCAAAATAACTTTTGGTTTTTCTTAAAAATGTTACAGCATCTCTTCAGTACTCTACAGGATTATGTATTTCCAGATTGCCTATAATCAGTGTCTTACAGTGTTTCCTAACCCACCAAAGAAGAATATGGCCGTTGCCTGATATGCTAATTCTTTACTCTGATTGATCAGAAAGGAAAAAAAGATATATAAAAATAGAAGTTTTTAAGTATTAAGTTTATCTGTAACCTTAGCAATTCCTTGATATTGTTGTTTGTTTCAGATGAGAAGAAACAAATGGTTGCAAATGTGGAGAAACAGCTCGAAGAAGCGAAAGAACTGGTATGTACAGACTTAGTAATATATTTAAAACACAACCAAAGCCATTTAGTCTGATGCCTTCCTCTAAGCCTCATTTATGCATTGTAGAAATGTGAAACATACCTGATTAACAGTTCATGATTAAGAATTCATCAGTGTCTACATTGAAGAGAATTTAATAGCTTCTTGGGATTTTATTCCTCTTAGTAAAGGTGATTCATTAAATGCCCACTTTGAATTTTTATCACTTCATAATACCTTTCATAATAGCTATAAATAGGTAACCCTTGCTAAAGGTGTATTAGGTACCAGACATGGGTTAAGCATGTTATTTGCTTTATACTATTTAATTTTCACAAAATCTCTATGAGACAGAAACTGTTTGTCAAAAACTGTTAAGGATCGAGGTTTTCCCTATTTGCCCATTCACAAGTGAGCTTGCCACAATCTCAAGGATGCTGATAGAAGACATTAGATTCCTATGTCAGAGACAAAAGGCTTTTATTACTCACAGCAAAAGCTGCTGCCAAAATTTCAGCAGGCTTGTGTCAGTTTCCTGAGCCCCAGTTGCCAAGGGGCTGATGCATGTTTGCTTAGAAAAATGCCTACACATCAGTGGATTATCTTATAGGAGAGAAACGTGGGGCCTGGGAAGGATACTGCTTTATAGCAGCCTGTAAGCAAGCCTGGTCTTTACCCCAAGGCACACATTGTTTCCTACCCCCAGATTGCTCCCTGCCTGGGAAAAGAGTTATCAGGGCCTTGCATTCTTAGTGTTGCAGCAAGACATGTAGAAGTGTGAGAGATACACAGAGGAGCATCATTACCCCCATTTTGTAGATGGGAAAACTGAGGCTTAGACAGATTAATTAACTTGTCTGTGGTCCCACACCCAGTTAGTGCTTGAGCTTTAACTCACCCACTACTTTTGATACTAATAAATTCTCAAATCAAGGAACAAAAAGTATTGAAATATATTGTGTCCTAATTTGGGGTTTCAAAGACTTGTATTACAAGTATGATTTGTCTTGTTCCTGCATTGTGATCCTAAAATGGTTGCAAATGTGGAGAAACAGCTCGAAGAAGCGAAAGAACTGGTATGTACAGACTTAGTAATATATTTAAAACACAACCAAAGCCATTTAGTCTGATGCCTTCCTCTAAGCCTCATTTATGCATTGTAGAAATGTGAAACATACCTGATTAACAGTTCATGATTAAGAATTCATCAGTGTCTACATTGAAGAGAATTTAATAGCTTCTTGGGATTTTATTCCTCTTAGTAAAGGTGATTCATTAAATGCCCACTTTGAATTTTTATCACTTCATAATACCTTTCATAATAGCTATAAATAGGTAACCCTTGCTAAAGGTGTATTAGGTACCAGACATGGGTTAAGCATGTTATTTGCTTTATACTATTTAATTTTCACAAAATCTCTATGAGACAGAAACTGTTTGTCAAAAACTGTTAAGGATCGAGGTTTTCCCTATTTGCCCATTCACAAGTGAGCTTGCCACAATCTCAAGGATGCTGATAGAAGACATTAGATTCCTATGTCAGAGACAAAAGGCTTTTATTACTCACAGCAAAAGCTGCTGCCAAAATTTCAGCAGGCTTGTGTCAGTTTCCTGAGCCCCAGTTGCCAAGGGGCTGATGCATGTTTGCTTAGAAAAATGCCTACACATCAGTGGATTATCTTATAGGAGAGAAACGTGGGGCCTGGGAAGGATACTGCTTTATAGCAGCCTGTAAGCAAGCCTGGTCTTTACCCCAAGGCACACATTGTTTCCTACCCCCAGATTGCTCCCTGCCTGGGAAAAGAGTTATCAGGGCCTTGCATTCTTAGTGTTGCAGCAAGACATGTAGAAGTGTGAGAGATACACAGAGGAGCATCATTACCCCCATTTTGTAGATGGGAAAACTGAGGCTTAGACAGATTAATTAACTTGTCTGTGGTCCCACACCCAGTTAGTGCTTGAGCTTTAACTCACCCACTACTTTTGATACTAATAAATTCTCAAATCAAGGAACAAAAAGTATTGAAATATATTGTGTCCTAATTTGGGGTTTCAAAGACTTGTATTACAAGTATGATTTGTCTTGTTCCTGCATTGTGATCCTAAGTGAGGGTGTTGCTTTTCTCCATACTGGAGGGTACCACTTGGTATTCCTTCAGTACGATATAGTTACTACAGTTTCCCAAAGTGTGTTTCTGTTAACTGGTGTTGCTTGTTCAAACAAGTTTGGAAAACTGTAGCTTAAACACAATTCTCCAATTATGGGTCTTTTTTTGGTTATTATTGGCTTGGCCAAAAAATTCATTCACATATTTTCGTAAGATGTTATAGAAAAACCTGATTGAATGTTTTAGGCCAACCTAGTATTTTTCTACTGAGTTTCTCCCAGTAAAGAATCCGCATTAATAGTAAAGGGTCAGCAGTAAAGAATCTGCCTGTAATACAATGCACTGCACGAGACGAAGGTTTGATCCCTGGGTCGGGAAAATCCTCTGGAGAAGGAAATGGCAACCCACTCCAGTATTCTTGCCTGGAGAGTTCCATGGACAGAGGAGCCTTGCAGGCTACAGTCCATGGGGTGGCAAAAGAGTTGGACGTGACTGAGCGACTAAACATTGACAACAGCAATATTTTTCTGTAGAACTTTCTTAGACTCTTAAGTTGTATTGAGGCATGATGAATGTCTCCAAAGGACTCTAAGGGGTGGCACTCCAAGCTAATTTGCCTGAGTAGCAGGGCCATACATGGCAGGCCTGCTGCTCAAGATGGGTGGGGGGTTCTGAGGAGTAGGTGATTGTAGCTCCCCATTACACCGCAGACACTTCCTTTCGTGTCTGTGAGTGCTCAGACAGCAAGTTGCAGAGCTGCTGCTCCATCTTGCCCATCTCCGGTTCTTTTCTAGCTGTCAGAACGCCTGTGCATTCTGTAAAAGTGAAAGTGAAAGTCACTCAGTCATGTCCAACTCTTTGTGACCCAGGGACTATACAGGCCCTGAAATTCTCCAAGCCAGGATACAGGAGGGGGTAGCCTTGACCTTCTCCAGGGGATCATCCCAACCCAGGGATCAAACCCAGGTCCCCCTGCATTGCAGGCAGATTCTTTACCAGCTGAGCCAGCAGGGAAGCTGAAGAATGCTGGGCCTTCCCGACCCAGGAGTCTCGCTGGGGCCTCCTGCATGGCAGGTGGATTCTTTACCAACCGAGCTGTCAGGGAGGCCCCGGCTCCATAAGAGATGCTTCTCATCTCCCTGTCTCTGCAGGAGCGGCTTTATCCTAACTCCTCAGCCTCCCATGTTTGCTTCTGTTTTGAAAGTTGCTTGTTTTTTCCAAATTCTTTTCTCTTTCCTTTTTTACAATCAACTGTTTTCCTCCTGCTTCCTGGCCTTCATGTACGAAGACTGAACTTTTATATGCCACAGCTGCCAACCAAGATGCTTCTTCCTTCTGGTTGGTATGCTTACCATACATAGTGCATACTTAGTTACTCAGTCGTGTCCAACTCCTTGCAATCCCTTGGGCTGTAGCCCACCCTTCTCCCTTGCCTATGGGGTTCTCCAGGCAAGAATACTGGAGTGGGATGTCATGTCCTTCTCCAGGGGATCTTCCCGACCCAGGGATCAAACCTGAGTCTCCTGCATTGCAGGCAGATTCTTTACCACTGAGCCACCAGGGAAGTGCAACTGGTCAATTCTTTGGATCTTGGGTTAACTTCTTAGCTTGTTGTTAAAGTCTCAGTAGCAGGGTATTTGTTTGTCTTTGCCATAAAAATCTATGTTTTGGTTCATTAGTTTGCCTTGTTTTGGAGACATTGATTTACATGATGATGTTAGAACGCTTCTTTCCTAATAACCAAAGTTTCACTTACCAAGAACTATGAAATGTGGTTACACCCCTGTGGAGCTTATGGTCATCTCCAGTTGTTACTAACATGAAGAGTTTTGTCTTAGATGTGTGATTCTGTTTGTTTAAAATGTCTAGGCAGCTGACTTAATTCTGATGGCATCCTTGTTAAGGACACACATCATTATATACTGTGTTTTTGATGAGGGCCCTAGGAAAAGAACTTTATTATGATTTTACTTGTTAGGATTAGTTGTATTTCTGTTGAACAATTTGTATTAATCTCTTGGACACTGCATGTCTCATAATTACCATGTCTTCCACTTGACATTAGCTGTGTGAATGTTATGACAATATAAGACTAGTAGTATTACTCTTGTTTCTGGTTTCATTTCAAGTGTTTGTCTTGTGTTACCTTTTTCTTTGTCTTACCTACTTTTAGTTAGAATGTCCTTATAAAATGCCTGAAACAAAAATGTCATTAACACTCAGATTTTCTCTTACATGTGCTTTTGCAGTTATTTGTCTGGATGATCCTGCTCGACCTTTCTAGAACTCAGCTCTTAATGACAATTTCAGGGAAGTGCTCTAAATAATTGCGTTGCTAGGTAACTGATTTATTGGTGCTTCATATTTATGCTGAGATATGGCAATAATTTAAATAGTTACTGCTTAAATCAAGGCTAATTAAAACTTTTTTCCTTTATAAAAATTAAAGACTGTGAGTTGAAACTTTTTTTTTAATTTTGTTTATCTGAGTTCTACTATTTTTATTCAGACTCTTAACACCAGACAAGTAAGAGTTGTATTCGTGCCAAGTGTGTAATGTTTATGGAAATAATTTATTTGGGTTATTTACTTTAAGAGGCAAAATATCTGACAGCATTTTTGGATGTGAGTTTATTAGACATGGCCTGAGCCAATTTGTAGTTGTTGACTTTTATTTTTTAATGCCAAGTATAAATAAGCTATCTGTGATACCTTACATCATGCTTGCTGTCTTTCTACTTCATCATCAGTAATCACCACTCCTATTATTCACATTAGTTGAGTAATTACCAAGTAAAAGATACTGTTCTAAGCACATTATAGGAATTACCCTGTTTAATCTTTATAGTTGTCTTACAAAAGACATACTATTTTTTTAGAAATGAGACACGTGAGACCCAGAGAAGTTAAGAAGCCTGTCCAAGCTTGCATAACTAGTAAGCAGTGGAGCCTATGATGTGAACGCAGGTGTCTAACTTCCATCATACTATTTCAATATTGCCTCCCATGAAATGCTCACGTGTTGTATCCAGGTTGTTATAAAGTGCCTTGCTGTGATTTCACTGAACTTTGTGCAATTTAATATGTTATATCCATTTAGGTCCATATCCACCTGGTTATAAAGCATGAGGTTGGAGGTCATGATCACATATTGGTTGGCATATGTATTTCCTAATCAGAAAAGACTTCCAGGAGAATTTTCACCAAACAACTGAGACTGGGCTGATATTTCATAGAGTAACTGTAGAGATCATGGTTTGGTGTATCGTCTCATAGTCCTAGTGGTTTGAGGTTGGAAGACCAGACCAGTTTGGGTTGGATGATAGGGTACTCTGCAGACAGTCAAATCATTATCGCGGAGGGTGTTTGGCTTAATGCACATGGTTTTAAAAATTCTTGACAGAGTAGACACTTTGGCACTCTCTGTGTCACTTGGCAAGTCCTCAGGAGCTGTTTACTGACCTTAACAAAAATGGAGCACAAAAGTGGTCCCCGTGTTCACTTGACCACAGGCAGTTTGCTCCTGGGCCTGGTTCCTCAAGTTGCAAAATGAGGACTTGGAGTTAAATCTTTCAGCTCTCAACATCTAGTCCTGTGAAGAGTGAGCAGATGGCTTAAACCGTGGTTTTCTCTCGCCCTCCCAGCTGGAACAGATGGATTTGGAAGTCCGAGAGATACCTCCCCAAAGCCGAGGAATGTACAGCAGCAGGATGAGAAGCTACAAGCAGGAAATGGGGAAACTCGAGACAGATTTCGTGAGTCAGATTCAGTCCTTATTATACTTGCCAGTCTTTACGGTGATTGTCACTTTTTTTTTTTTAATTGCTTCCCCCACACATCTTAGTCAGCATTAAGTATGTCATCTTTAGGAGCTTGTGCCAAAGACATGCAACAGCTTCCATTGTATTGCTTGTAGAGCTGGCTAATGATGGACTTGAAGGTATGTTGGATTCCTGACTCACAAAATAGACCCAAGTCATGTGGTTTTTGAGTTTTGATGGTATTTATTGATATTTAGCATTTATCAGAATTCTGAAATCTAATCTGGGGCCTTTCAGAGTTTGCAGGTTTTAAGCTGCATTGTTCGTGGATGAACTTCAGGGACTTGTGAGTGTCCTGAAATTATATCAATATATTTGGGTATGTGTTTCTATATGTATATTTTTCTAAGATAGGCTTCATAGCCTTTATTACCAGAGTTTTAAAAGGATACATTACACTTCTCCCCTTCAGGAGCTCAATTGATAGTTTATATAAGAGGTCCTTTGTATTGAGTGTCTTATGAGAATATTTAGCTTTCTCTTCCTATATATCTGACTTTCAACTCCACCCACCATTAGCAAATTTAAGAATATAAATTTAAAGATATTCACATTAAAATTTTTAGTAATTAGAAGGTAATAGTAGCAGAAAGATACAGGTGAGCAATTCCACTTCTGGGTATATACTCTAGAAAATTGAAAGCAGGATCTTGAAGAGATATGTATTATTGTGGCAATACCCAAAGATGGAAGCAACCCAAAAAGAAAGAAAGAAAGAAAGAAATGAAGTTGCTCAGTCGTGTCCAATGTCCGACTCTTTGTGACCCCATGGACTGTAGCCTACCAGGCTCCTCTGTCCATGGGATTCTCCAGGCAAGAATACTGGAATGGGTTGCCATTTCCTTCTCCAGGGGATCTTCCTGACCCAGGAATCGAACCCCGGTCTCCCCCATTGCAGGCAGACGCTTTACCCTCTGAGCCACCAGGAAAGCCCCGTAGTGTGCATTAACAGGTGAGTGGATGAACACAATGTGGTGTGTGCATACAATGGACTATTAATGCAGCCTTAAAAATGCAGGACATTCTGACATATGTTATGGCATGGATGAACACTGAGAACATTATTCTAAGTTAAATAAGCCAGTCACAAAAGACAAATACTTCGTTTCCACTTATATGAAGCACTTAAAGTAGAAAGTAGATTGGTGGTTGCCAAGCGCGGAGGGAAGGAGAACTGGGCAGCTACTGTTTCATGGCTGTAGAATTTCAGTTTTGTGGCATGAAAAGCTGTAGAAATTGGTTGCTCAGCCATGTGAATATATTTCACTGCATTGAACTATACACTTAACATTGGTGAAGATGGTAAATTTTATATGTATTTTACCACAATTGAAATTTTAAAAAGTGTAGATGAAGAAAGATCTGAGCTTACCATACCATGAGCGACTGGAGTCAGGTGTGGGCATGTAAGCCGACTGTATTTCTGACCCTGGGGTCCAAATTTATAAAGAAAGTTGAGAATTTATAAGGACCCTTCTGCCTGTTTCCTCCACAGCTGTTTCACTTTTGGAAACCACATTTCCTAGACCACAGTGTACCCTCCCACTACAAGACCAATGGTACTGAGTCTCATAAAAATTTCACCTGGAGTCTGGAAGTAGGGTGACTTGCAGTTTTGCATATTTGTTTTACATTATCATGGGTAGTTGCCTGAGAAGCTGAGTCTGGGTGTGTCGGTGACTCTGATGCAATTACTTTTTAAGTTGCACGCCTATTAATTAAAAAGAAAAATTGGAATCCACGATAGGCCTAAATTCAGGAAAGAAATGTAACTGCCTTGCTTCTGCAGTTTGTACTAGATAAAACTTTCCCTGCTTGTAAAAGATAGGTTCCCTTAGCAAGAATGTGAGAGATGATTTGAAAATTGGATTGATTTAAGAATCTGATAACTTAAAATTGTACTTCTAATTAAAATTAATGTTTTAATATAAATGATTAAAGTAAAATAAATATATATAAGGATTATTTTAGTTTGTTTATCTCATCTCTATGAAGTGCTTTTCTAAAGATTTTCTTCTCGACCCAGAGGGATCGGGTGGAGAGGGAGGTGGGAGGGGGGACTGGGATGGGGAATACATGTAAATCCATGGCTGGTTCGTGTCAGTGTATAACAGAAACTACTGTAATGATGTGAAGTAATTAGCCTCCAACTAATAAAAATTAAAAAAAAATAAAATAAAATAAAGATTTTCTTCTCTTGGTTTGTAAAACAACTGAGCACATTAGTCTGCTATCATTGCCATATAATGTACCCCAAACGGGGTGGCTTAAACAACAAAAATGTATCTCCTTGACATTCTGGAGTCTAGAAGTCCAAACTCAAAGTGTTGTAAGGGTTTGTTTCTTAAGAGGCCTCTCTCTGTAGCTTGTGGATGGCTGTCTTCTCCCGTGTCTTCACAGTCTGTATGTGTTTATGTTCTAATTTCTTCTTCTCATACAGAAACCAGTTGTATTAGATTAAGGCTTGCCCCAATGACCTCATTTTACTTCATTTAACTCTTTAAAGACCCCCGGCTCCACGTACAGTCACATTCTGAAGTGTTAAGGGTTAGACTTCAACACATGAAATGTGGGGACATGATTCAACCCATAACACTAAATTTGGAGAAGGAAATGGCAATCCACTTCAGTATTCTTGCCTGGAACATCCCATGAATGGAGGAGCGTGGCGGGCCACAGTCCATGGGGTTGCAAAGAGTTGGACACAACTGAGCAACTTCACTGCACTGCAACACTAAATTTAGTTTTAATCTTTTCTTCTTAATTTTTTTTTTCAGAAGTTAAAGTTGCTTTTATGGCTTCTAAGTCAGCTAACTCATTGTTAAGAATTTTTTTCCCTAACAACTGTAATCTTGAGTAGAGTCCTTCAGGTATTTGGATATCACATAGGTAAACATTCTAAAAGTGTCTTTTCTGTTATGAAGAAAAATGGAATGAAAACTGTGAACTAAACATTTATTCTCTGGATGATCATTAAGATTCTTGTGTTTATTTGTATATTTGCTACACAGTTCCCTTGACTGTGTCAGGAAACATCCTTCACCACCACCACCATCATCAGCGCCTTGTATGTGATTCACAGCTTATAAAGTGCTTTACCATGCGTTATTTCATTTCAGTGCATGAAGAGTAGACAGAACAGCTGTAGATTACTATCCCCAGTTTACACACGATAAAACAAAGAGGTCCAACTTGATTATGGATTTCATTCAACAGATTTTTTTTCCTTTATTTTTGGCTGTGTTGGGTCTTTGTTGGTGCGCACTGGCTTTCTCCAGTTGTGGCGAGTGAGGGCTGCTCTCCAGTTACGGTGCTTCTGGATTGCAGCAGCTTCTCTCGTTGCAGAGTGCAGCCCCTCGGTGTGCAGGCTCTGGAGTTGCAGCGCGGGCGCTCAGTAGTCGCAGTTTGCAGGCTCTAGAGCACAGGGTCAGTAGTTGTGGCACATGAGCTTAGTTGCCCCACTGCATGTGGAATCTTCTTGGACCAGGGATCAAACCCACATCCCCTGCATTGGCAGGCAGGTTCTTAACCCACTGGACCACCAGGGAAGTCCTCAAGAGATCTTTCTCAAGCTCTGTAGATATCAGGCAGTGTCCTGGGTGCTGGAAAAAAAGCCATGATTAAGAGATCAAGTTCTTACTCTTATGGAATTTATGTTGTAGTAGGAATGATGAGAAGCAAGTAAATGCATATATCTTAATTTCAGATAGTGATAAATTCTATAAGTAAGGTGAGTAAGTTGATAGTGACCAGCAGGGCTGTTGTAACTGTTTTTGCTTGGGTGTTCTCTGCTTGAGTGGGGGAGGGAGAGGGGTGCATGTGGTTCCAGAGGGAAACAGAAGAATGATCAGTAAGGGCATTGTCAGTTTAGTAAAGACCTTGGCTTTTCCTCTGTCTTGATTGGAAGTGATTCTAGGACTTTGAGAAGTAAGTGGTCCTTTGCCTCCTGTTTTACAGTTTTGTCCGCTTTACCATTTTTGTCACATGAGGTATTTGAATAGAATGTAGAAAATATTTACATGATTCCCTTTTGACTCTTATTTTCTTCTTACATTTAATTCTTTTATTTTTTAATGGAATGACAAACATCTTCTTAAAGATATACTGATATGTCTAGAAGTATTGAATCCCAAGAAAAAGTAGTGGAGATGGTCCTTCATCCTTTATTTGCAATGTTTATTGCAAATGAAGAAATTCTCTCATTGCCCTTGTAATATCAAGACCTTGGGGGAACATCTATGCTGGTGGGGAAAGGCAGAGGACAACTCAACACTTTTTTCTTCAACCCCATTGCCTACTTACTTTCTTTTTTCTGGCCCTCTTCCTCCTCTGCCCGTCCTTCAGCTGCCTGGATTCTTCAGGCTTCTTTTCCACTTAACCCACTGTCTCACTCCTGTGTTATTGCTCCTGTGACTTCAATGACCACAGCTATATTCTCTTGCATTTCTCACAGAGACCTCCCTCCAGCTCTCAATTCATATTCGTTACTATTTACTGGGTACTTCTAATCCAGGGTCCTTTAAACCTTAAATTTGACAATGCTAGTCATTTCAGCATGAGCTTTAGTTTTTCCCTCTTTATCTTCTTGCACATCCAGTTGGTCACTCAGAGTTAACAATCCTCCCACTTAAATATTTCCTGCTTTTATCATCACCACTGGAAGCCTTTCATGTTTCTCAATCTGGATGATTGTAGTAGCCTTTTCTTCTTCTATTCTCCCAACCTAAACCACCCTTCTCTCCACTCTGGAATGATCTTTCTAACACCTTGATCTGAATATGTCTTACTGTTCCACAAAATTCTACAGAGTTCTTATTGTCTGCTGAATCAAATTCAGGTCAACGTCTAGGCTTTCTGTCCTGTTCCATTGTTTCTTTGCATGTCTAGTAATTTTATTAGTTCAGTTCAGTTCAGTCGCTCAGTCGTGTCTGACT